CCCCAAAACCCCAAAACCCCCAAGCTTTCAAATATAATTGCTCAAATTGGTTCTAGCAAATTATAAGCTTATTAGTTTATTTTTATGATTATTATAAACATTTTAGAAGATTCAATAAATTACGTCCAAATATAATTATGGGACTTTTCAAAATATATTTTTCTAATAACTCTCATAGTAGTTTAGATTTTCAAGAGTCAATTGAATTTTCCTCATTATTCCCAGCGTGAATAACAGTATAATCAGCTTGGTATTCAAAGGCTTAGGAGCCAATTCTCTAATGAGTTATTTCAGTTTTATCTGAATTCTTCCTACTGCTCTCTGAGTTGTTTTCACTCTCCTTTTATTCCATAATTTTAAAAGCATCTTCCTATGCCTCAATATCTATAATCTTCTGGGTATTGAACTTTTAAATTAGCTCCTACTCAGAATAATTCTTAGGTGAATCATCCAGACTATCATCCAATTAGATTATCTGTTTAGCTTTTTATGGTCCCTTAACGAATGGGGATCGCGTAGCTTAAGATACAACTCTTAATTAGAGCTCTTAGATCTAGATTTCATCTGATTATGCTGAATCCTATTTTTGATTTTAAGGAGATTTTTGATAATCTTAAACACTCTTATTTGAGATCATAGCAGGAATATCTTTATTTCTTGACTTAGTTGTAATAATAATCATTTCATCCTCACTCTCATTTGTGTCAAGTTTAACCTGCTAGGGTTATGTGGTCGTGTTACTCTGATTTTGAACCTATTTTTTTGTTCTACTAGGCTGTTACTTGAAATTTTCCTATATGGAATGTATGCGAGTAACTTAAGTTGATGATACAATTACTGTCTCTTCAAAGCTATTATTAGGAATATCTATCTTGCCAGCTGTGTCTTTCATTTTAGAACCCTTGTTCCTCTTTGGTTTTTGCTTCTACTCTTATTGATTTGTGACTGTGTTCTTAGCACTTGTAGAGCCTTTTCTCTGATCTTTTTCTCCTACTGCATCAATGGTGGATGGAATATTATTAGCATTTTCTCTGTTATTTTTCTTTTCAAATTAATTAGACTCTCTTCTATCTGATTAAGTATTGTTATTCATCTAAATAACAGAAGGTTTACGAGACGTTTAATTTAATTGTTGATCCTTAGCATCCTAATCCAAAGGCTACTGAGCTTATCTATTTAATTTTAAGACTTTCTTGAGTTCATTTTCAGTCAATACATGCTAATTGCTCCCGAATAACTCTCTAAACTTAAAAGCCAAGGCAATAGGGTCATCTGACAAATCCTCCTTCAATCTTTCCTTTACCTGTCCTATAGGTCTCTCAAAGTCTCTATCGGTTGCAGTATCTTTTGTTTATTTTTTCTCCTTTATCTCCTTTGAATCTTGTGTAATCTTCTTTTTCTTATGAACTTTCTATGTTGCTTATTATGGCTACTCTTCTCTTTTGCTTTTTTAATGCTTAATTTTAGGCGTATCTTTTGTTTCAGTAAGGTCTAGAGATATTTTTAAACCTTAATCTCTATTCCTAGTTGAGGCTGGCTGAAAATCTTCTCTGTTATTGAATGCTGATTCATCTAGTTTTATATCATTTTTTCTTTTCTTTAGCTCGGGTTTGCTTTCCATATCAATTTTATTTGTTTTTTACTTTTTGATTTCAGGCTACAGGTCTTATTTACTAATGACTGAATTGATTTATCCTCCAAACTTAACTCTCTAATTTAAAGATTCTTCGATAGGATCACTATTATCTGCTGCAATAATAGCAGTGCTAACATCCTAAATATCATCTGCTATATCTCTCTAAGTTGGCTACAGTGTGATTGTCTCATTTAGGTTACTAGAGCTCTATTTTGTTTCTTTAGAAAGAATAAATGAGTAGCTTTTAGTTGGAGAAATAGGTCTTTTCAAGTTAGGACTCTAACTTTGCTTTTCAATGATAGATTTCTTTAGAGTTTCTCGATCATTCTAGGTAACTGCCTACTTTCTGGATGTTTTCTGACAAATTGGTGTCTCTTGGTAACTGCCTGGATGCTCTCTTGTTTTACTTATATTACCCATGTTCATTATATAGTCAAGATCTTAATTAAGGTAATCTTTTGATTTAATTTCACGATTCTTTATATTCCTTAGACTTTTCTTTTCAGTTTGCAGATCATCAAGCTTTAAATCTGAATCTAAGAAGTTGTTTCTTCTTTGATCTTTTTTCATCCTTAACATAGATAAATCATCTCTTATTCTCCTTTTATCATTTAGCTTGAAATCAAGATGCTTGTTAAATTTAACCTTGTCGTGATCTAGAGGAAAAACATCGTCTCTCTAATGTCTCTTAAGCTCCTACATATAGCGCGGCTATGATAGTTTAGTAATCTACTTTTGAATCTTTGTGATTGTCTAATCATATTTCGACTAAAATAATTTGAATTTATCATCCATAAATTCAGACATCATTGCTTTTATAGCATCTCGCATTGCGAGAGTCAAGATTTATGATTCCATCCCTTTATTAAATTAAAATATTATCTTTATGAATTAGAAGATTAATTATCTCAATTTTTAAAAACACTATTGTAAAGGGGTTTTGGGGTTTTGGGGTTTTGGGG